AACGACAGTTTGTAAGTTAATGACGATTAAATTGTTTATAGCAACGAGGGGAGAGTTTGCTTATCGCCAGTTTAGGACTGAGATTAGCTTCCTTTTAACGTCTTGTCTTTGATTCTGTCACTCTTAATAAAATAACTTTTAATATCAGTTGTTCTCATTCTATTATTCTACAATATGATACATACAAATTAGAATTATTGACACAATGTAAACCTGTAATATAAATCTCAGGATTTGTAAGTAACTTCATGAGTTTAACACGCTCAGTAATAATTTCAGTTTTTGTAAGATTTTCACGCTGACCAAACTTGCCTCATAGCAATTCAAAAATAATTTTGATACACATCGTAAACCACGGTTATATGCTATTTTATCAGCCTCTAATTTAACTCCTTCAGCCTTCTCTTAATTTTCTATGTGCAATTTTTGTTCAATTTTATCATTTTCGCAATGTTTTGGCCAGCCATTAGTCTCTTGTTTAATTTTCAGAAAAGTATTTATATCATCAGTGAAAAGACCGCGAATACCCGTTTTACGATTTTACTGAATCATCTATATTGCAATATTTCAAAAACTTTCAAAACGCGATACCCTTTCTCTATAGCTTTACGCACTTCATCAACAACCCACGTACCGTGTAATACACGTTCGGCTATATCGTTATGACAACAATCCCCCTAATAAATTGTTTCAGCACACGTTCTACATAATACAAACATAAGTTTACCGCGGAATCTCGATGGTAAAACAGGATACAGGAGGTTATGAGGTGGCAAGACGGAGCATTTCACGAGACCTTTAATATTGTCAAAATTATTTCCATTTTTAAGAATTTTATCACACTCAACACTAACGTAAATTGTCGGATGGCCTACAGGAAATTTTCCTGTTTTGCACACGTAAGGAAAGAGTGAACACACATCGACATATTTTATTTTTTCTGACCCTGCTACATCGCGTAATGACCCAAAATTGTTTAAGTGGCTTGTTTTTCAGTAAAGGATGAATATTAGTTGATATTCTTAAACGACAGTTATTTTTTAAAAACTGTCGATAATGACATTCCCACTCTTCTATAAGTGTATAACCTATTGATATAGAAATTCTTTTCAAAATCATTTTTAGATTTTTTTCGTAAATCTGTATTTAGATCTACATACTTCTTCATTCATGGTGATTGATTAAATTTAAGGATCCTATGGATTTCGGTTACAATCATTCCCAAATCGAGACATTGTTTTAAATTTCTGTAGTGAATCACATATTCAAGTTTAGGTAATAATGTCGTCATAAGTTTGCTGCTATTGCTGTTTGGAGGTTTACGGTGTTCAGGATACAATGACAAATCTTTATGATGCTCGTGTAAGATTTTTGGATACTCTAAATCAACCTCGAAAATGTAACCAACTGGAGAATCATTGGAGATATTTTTAATTATTTCACAGATATTAGAAATATTGATGTCATCTTTCACCCATTCAAATGATCCAGTTGGTAGGTACTCACTCATTGCTGCGCCATACAAATTATTTACATCAAAATACATGAGATATGATATATTTCCATTGGGGTTATAATCATTACACATATACGGGTTATTTGCTTTTGCATATCTATTTGAACACTGTGCCACTCCTCCTCTAATACCTTTTTCTATGAAATTAAGCATTTCCACATTGTCCAAGAGTTCGAGTTCAATTTCTGTATATTTCAACATAGCATCAAAAGCTAATCCAGGTGCAATGTAGTAATGTAACGGATCAAGCTCATAAGTAGAGATACAACTTTGTCTAAAATTTTGAAAAACGTCTGCTAACAGAAGAACGTCTGTTTTTAAATATAAATCTGAATATTCACCGAGGATGTTTAGTTGAAATTGATCCCAAACGTGGCGTGCATGTTGGTAATCGTCATCGGAAATGTCCGAATCGTTGAGTTTCGAATAGAATTTTGTTTTGTCAGGTAGTTGTCGTTCGTCAAGTTTTTCCCAACTGTCAATACATTCATATGGGAAAACACCTTTACGAGTTACTAACTGAAATTTATCTGGCTCGGGATAGAAATTTTTGGTAATTGATTTTGCGTTATTATCTAAAAATGATGCAAGTTTCTCAATACTATTGCTCATGAATCGGAAAGAATCAATAAATCGTAATTTAACAAATATTTCTTTTTTTCTTTTTTCGTAGGAAATTTTCTGATCAACTGTTTTTGTAAATGCTATGTATTTTTCTTTATTGACAGGTAATAATTCCATATAACCTTTAAATGATGTAGCTAATGATTTAATAAAAAAAATGTGTGTCATATCCTGAGAGGTTATGAGAAATGACTGGAATTATGCATGAATTTTGATAATTTAAATTACAATTAACACGAGCAGCGCCTCGATAATTCCCTGTAAAGTGACAGTGATCATGTACTTTCGTTTCATCATGTAAAAATGATTTATTACAAATGTGACAGATTTTTGCATTACAAAAATCGTTTAACTGTTGGGATATTAATGGTTTCATTATCATGGTCAAATGTTGCAAGTAAATGACAACACCAGTGCGAATTCGATTTTGGAAAATATTTTCTAAATCTTTCCACCGAATCAATTGTTCTGTTGATTGAAGGCTTCCTCCAACGATTGAATGATTTATGAACTTTTCATGTAATGTTGCGAGTGCTGCAATTATCGATTGAATTCGTTGTTTTTCACCAACCCATAAACCACTCGATTGCAAATGTCTGTATAATGTAGTAATATTGTCACTACTAATTCCCACCCACTTATCAATGATTTGACTAGATTCATGATTCAAAGGTGGTAGAAGAGTATAAGCCTCCTCCATCATTTTAATTAAATCAGAATAATAGTTTAATGCACTCATTTTTTTCGACTTTACTAGACAAACTTCAGAATTACAATGATGAAAAAGCGTGTTTGAAAAGATTTATATAGGATTTTGGATGACCTTGTAATGAGTACCATAATCTAAAAAAATTTCTTGAAAGTTCGAGAATATCAATTACCAAATGTAACTTATATTAAATAACTATTTTTCTTAAATGTAAGAGGGGAAATATTTGAATCAAAAGAACAATAATTCCAAGTTTTTTTTATTTATTTGGAGGTAAAAATATCATGTAGCTATTTTTAACTGTTGCCACAACTTTTGTTCCATACACAGTTTCAAGTTCTTTTGAACCAGTAATTTTATACGCTTTAGACGGTTTTAATGTATCTATCTTTTTGGTTGGTAAGTACGTCTCACACTTGGCAATTTTGTTTACTCTTGATAGATCCATTTTTACCGTTTGAATTATGTATAACAATGTATTTCTCACAGTTTTGATTGATCAGTGATTTTAAACATGAGTTGCATGGGTATAAATACAATTCATCCCCTCCAAAACAAAGATTCCAGAATGTTTCAATTTTTGATGCAATCATAAATTAAAACATGCATCAAAAAAAAAGTTTGCATAATGTGTCATCATCATTCCCCGCTGAAAACTTCCAAAACATGTCAAGGCTGTGAATCAGCCCTGAAATCATGTGAATTTTTTGCTTGATTTTCCAAGAAAAAATCTTGGGGGGTTGGCATGATGTTTCGTCATCATTCTCGTTGAACGTTTCAGACTATCGAAGATTACATGTAATGAAAAAAAATACAATTTTATAGACAATCGTTGTAGTGATCAAACAATAAAATTAGATGTTATAATTTTAAAGTGGGGATAAACATATAAATAGATGATTTCGCCAAGTTCAGCATGTAAATCAGCAACAACAAGTGAACGGGGAAAACATAAATTATCGTTATTAGTAATGCGTACAATTGATCGTTTGAAAATAGACTCGTAAGTTAGTTTCTTATTACCACGCCCCTCTACACCGCGTACAGTTGAAACCATTAACACAATATTATCAGCGCTATTCAAACCACCAGCACTCTGCGCTATTTGACACAGTAAGTCCCACAGAGTGTTGCTTGTATTTTGTTGTGGTAGTCTACAACGAGACCATATACAGCCACTTGGTAATCGCTCATAATAAATAGTAAAAGCTACTCTGTCACGAGATACGCGAGACTGTGTAATATATGTTGTAATGTCTGTTAGCGCGCCTTCAAAACACTCTACATAGTTTTGATCACCAGGCAGCGGTGTTAGTTTAATGATACATTCTTTACCAGTAATTTGAAACTTCTCAAAATGGTTGACCCGCTCCTTGTCAATAATAAAACGGCGGCCCCGGGAGATAAACAGTTGTAAAGGTGTCTGATGATGTTGTCGGCAATGCCTCGTGTTTATTCGCTGAACTCTGGATTTTCTTCGTTACTGCTCGGTTTACAGCCCCATCGGTTAGAACATCTATAATTTGATAATTATCAGCATTATTCTTCAAGTGGCCTCCAAGAGAAATTGTAGCCAACATGAAGTTATAATTAATATTTTCATTAATAATGAAACTAATAAACATAAGAATAAAAATAATTACCAACAGGTGTTGATGAATTACTTCTTGTTGGGGATGAGGTTTGCTGTTCAGTATTAGTATCATCGGTCACTTCAAAGGAATATTCTATTGAACTACTCGATAGTGACTCATACTCCCTCTGAAAACCATCCGAAGGAATATCATTATCTGTTTCTTCTTCAATATCAAGTTTACAGGGGATAAAATATTCATAAAAGTTTTTCATCATAACCCCCGTTGTTTCGAAAAGTCAGTTTTAAATGTTTAATGCTATTTTTTTCTTTTAAAACGGACATTAATAATTTCAAAATAAGTGTAATAATATGGCTTATTTCTACAAATTTATCGGCGGGGTAATTATAGGTTCTCTAAATAACATAGATTTATTTAAATAATAATAGAATATTTATTTATAAAAATAATTTTCTGTAGTAATGACAAGGGAACGCAAGAAACATCTACGTCAACGAGTGCACGGCGGACACGGCGTCTCATAATACCTGACGTAATAGCTGAAGGCACGTCATCGATGAAATCACAGAGTGATTCTGAGGTAACTGAGGCCTGTTTTTCAAATGCTGCTAGTGGTATATCACAAAAAGTTACTGGACTCTTGAAGAAGAGGTGTAAAAAAAAAAACGCTAGGTAAAATTTTCATTTAAATAATGGCGTCACTAAAGAAAATATATTACAACCTCGAACATTCTACAGGCTTCGCGGGTACTACACCTGCACATTCTGTCCCTTATTCATTTATTGCCCCTCGTCAAACTAGCGTGCTCTTGCGGCTCATATTTACAGTGCCGAGTAACACGCTACTCTATACTGAAAAGTTCACGCGTGACGTCACGACGCAATGTTTAAGTGTAAACATCTCTATAACTACTCAACATTACGGGATAATTTTCAATACACAATCAATAATGACTGTAAGCTTTTATTCAAATCCAAAATAAGATTTTTTCATTGAGTATTTGTCGAGATACAGATAGAGCCACGCCCCTAATTCCGTTTTTCGCACATTTCAACTCGATTTCTAGCCTCTCCTTTGTCAGTCTTACCTAAATGACATGTTACGTTACCTTTCTCTCGTAGCCACAATTTTTCTACGAAATATCTAGAGTAGCGGTAGATACTCGGCGCCAAGTGCACATCCACTTTTGCTCTCTTTCTCACTAGTGCGTTCTTTCTCTCGTGTGCGCCGAGACTACCAACTATCTAGAGTAGCGGTAGATACTCGGCGCCAAGTGCACATCCACTTTTGCTCTCTTTCTCACTAGTGCGTTCTTTCTCTCGTGTGCGCCGAGACTACCAACTACTCTATACACGAAAAATATTGTGTGACGTCATCATCACATCTTTGAACGCGAATATCTCCGTAATTACTGCTTATCATGCCTTCATGTTTAATAGATAGTCACTTAAGATCATATGCTTTCGATTCAATGCAAAATCAGAATTTTTAGTCAACTATTAACAAAGTTACAAATTAGCTCCGCCCCTAACAGCAATATTTCTGCTATTCAAGATTTCTTGGCTCACTATTTCACTCATTATACTTGAGCTCTCTATAATGTGTTCTCTCTTGCGTTGTATGTTTTTTATCTCTTTTTTTTATGTTAAGCTTTCTACATTGTCCTCTCTCTTGCGTTACATATCGTTTTCACTCTCTTTCCCGTAAAGCTCTGTAGCTTGCCTCCTTTCTCACGTGATTGAGAGACATCTATATGATAATGTGACATTTATTATCGTATTTAAATTGTATTTTATATAAAAGAGTTTTATCTTTACGCCAGATTGTGGTTTTAAAAATAGATTTTAAACAATTACGATAGAATATTTGGATGTGCCTGAGTAAATTAAAAAATTATTTTTTATTCATAAAATTGAGGTTATTTTCTTAGCTGAGCGCTAAATGACTATTTTCCGTTAGAACGCAAACTTAGCAGTTACTGGAGAACATAACCTCAATTAAATATATTTTTATAAAATTTGCAGTGAAAAATTTCACGAATTAGTTAAACATTAAAGTAACAACTTAATATTTATTTAACAAAAACAAGCTGTTATAAATGTTCATTAGTTAATCGAATATAAATTCTCTTATAAATAATTTGTTTATGAATACAAAAATTAATAATGTGATCAAGCAATAAACCGTTAACCCCAGAAGATATATTGGTAGAAATTAGAAAGTTTATCCCAGCGTCTGTTAAAAATTTTCAAAAAGAAAATACTCATGAAGTTACAAAAGGGGCTTTATTGTTATTGAAAAATCTTCCTGCTGCTAGAAATGCAGTTTTGGACTATCTCTGATAATCCTCAAGCTTGGTCATGTCTTATCACCAATTGGTCTTTAGATCTCTTGGGTAATTATTTTATAAAAGTTGATCAATTATTTTATAACAATAGTGCACAAAACAATGACAATTTTTCTTTTTTGATTGTAGGTAAATTATCAAAAAGTTTTCCAAAAAAAAGCTAAATTAACAACTAAATCCACAATTAATGATTGTCTTAAATATTGGTTATCATGTAAAACAACCAGGACATTGATGGATTTATCAGACAAATGTATAAAATATTTATTAGACTTTAATCAACAAGAAGCTGACAACTGTATGAATATTTTGATTAAATTGATGGCCACACACAGCCCATATTTAGATTGGGTAGTTTCTCATATTGGAAGTTATTTTCCACAGTTGATTATTAAAAATATATTATTCTGGGGGTTAAAAGATTTTTCAGTGACAGGAATTCAAGAAAATTCTCAAAATATACTACACTCAGTAGTAGGAATTTTAGAGCATCTAGCAACGAGTCATTTATATGAAATAAATGATGCAACTGTAAAAAGTGTGTATTGTGAAATTCTAGATATGATTCTTCAAAAATTCGACTTGATCATGAGAATGAATGGACCACATAGTGCTAATGGAATAGCGTTATTAATGTCAATTAAACAAGACTTATCACTCATTATACCGTTACTTAATGATTCACATCCACTAAAAGTACAAACAGCTGTAAGATTTATTTCACTTCTTGGAGCATTAGAGAAGACAGTATTTTGAAGAAACAACGCGGTGTAAAAATATCAAACCGACTATTAAGTCTCATCATGTGCACGTATTCTTGCAATACGAGAGCTAATTAAGGATAGTCTCTATGGTGAGCCATCAGAATATTTTAGTGCTAAAGTAACACCGAAAGATGAAACAAATAATTTTTCATTGCTTCATCAAAATCATAAACATGGTACTAGCGTTATGCTAGCACAGCGACATTCATCAGCATTTCATGCTGGTGTTATTGGCCAGGGACCAAGAAGAAATATTGCTCAAGATAATTTTAATAAAGAAATTATAAATTTAAATAGTTTATTATTGTTAGATACTATTAAAGCTTGTTGTATGAGTGATGAATTGAACAATCAGTATCCAAACTTAGATGCCATAAAAATGGTTATCTTACTTCTTGTGGAATTAATTTCACCAGATGTAATGTACAATGGACTTCCATGGCCAGATGAAGAATTTACCAAAGTTACAGTTGAAAGGGATCTAAAGATATGTTGTTCATTTCGAGAAGTATCTCTTATTTAGACTTTACTTGAATTAACTGCAAGACATTGTCCAGCATTGACTTATTGTTCAGTTTTATTACGAGCTATCACCGCTGCAGTAATTTCCAATTGGAATTTAGCAGAAGGTTTACGGCTTATAAATATTATGGTCCTAGTTCAATTACTTCCTACACCTCTTAATTATTTGACAGATGTTTTACCAATTCTCACACCTCATCAGGTATGTTTCAACGTTTTTTTTTGCTGATTTTACAATTACTAAACTTTATTTACATAATATTTATTTTAATTTCAGATCAATGTAGTAATAAAAGAATGTGTATGGGCTTACATGCATGAAAATGTTCCTTTTCCGGCATTATTTACTCTCACTAAATTCTATGTACAGTCAAGTCTTAAAGCATGGTTCATTGTAATAAGTGTAATAAAAGTTTTTAAAGATCGATGAAGACAAAATCTATCGAATGTAATATCGATGACTCATAATAAATATATAAATTTATATATTGGAGCATTAGAAAAATTTTTTTGTCCATTTAATTGAATTTAGAATAATAACGTACTTATACCACTCATTTCACTTTGTTCTTTCACAAAAATTTCAAAGTATTGATAAATTATTGTCACTGCAAGTAATATTCCTATACCAGATTCAATCGCACCAAGAAAGTCAGCAAGTACCGAAAGGGCTCCAATGCAAAGTCCGCTAAACGCTGCTGCAGTAGGAATGTAACGGTCCAATTCATGAATCATTGAATTGTTACGATGTCCTCTCATTACCATTTTTTGATCTTTCAATTGTTTAGCAACCTTGAATTTTTTAAAATTTATTAATAACCATTTATAAAAGACATAAACATATCATTATATTTGTTTATACAAGTCAATGGTACTCACGTCTTTAGCTGAACTACCAGAAACTTCAATCCAAGTTTTAGAGAAAAACGCACAAGAACCCAGCATGAAGAGAATGTATAAGAGGGCATGGACAGGATCTTGAAAAATATGTCCTACCGATTCAGGCGGCGATAAGTAATAGCAGAGACCTCCAACGGGGTAAGACCTTGCTGGGTCACCACCACCAACATCTGACCATACTCCCAATAGATTAACAATTAAATTGCCTTGAAATTTAGCCACCAACATTTGAGATATAATGTAGAGATTCGATACTAAAGCTGATTGAAGAATGATAGGAATATTATTCGTATAGAAAAGTTTGATTGGATAACTACTGTATTGTCTACAATATTTAGTCGATTTAATAGGTAAATCGACACGGAAACCCTAAAAAAATACATATCAATCATAAGTAAGTACAATGAATAAAAAATAAATATTATTATTATTACATAATATTATTGCATCTTACTTGAAAGTATATAACAATAGCAAACACTAAAATTGTTGCTAATAAATTCATAAAATTTGGAAGATTTCGACGATAGAATGCTTCTCTTAGAGCACGAACTTTGCCTTGTCTAGTAGCTAACAGGTGGAATAACGCTATTACTGCTCCTTCGAATTCAGTACCTCGTCCAGTGTTGACAGTTGCTGATGAGAAGGCCTTTCATACAATTGTTTCACAAATATTTGTGGCAATGAATAAGGAAATACCACTTCCAAGACCATATCCTTTTTGTAAAAGTTTATCCAACAGTAAAACAATTAGACCAGCAACAAAAAGTTAAATAATAATTAATAAACAAACTCCAGCTCCAATTTCAGCTGGATCAGAAAAGATTACCAAAATATTCTGATGCATATTTATCATCTGGAAATATAATAATTACATGATTACTGGACAACTCTTATGCCTCTATTTGTTAATAGAAATTGGCTATTAAAAAAACAGCATTGGAAAAATTTGGATCGTTATTAAAAATTATAGAAAATTGACCAAAAATACTGTATTAAAAAAATTAAATAAGAATTTTAACCTTAAAAAAATATGAAATATTAGATATTTACCAGTTCTAAGGTTATGATGGATATCATCGGTTGCTAATATTTGAAATTCCTTATTCCTACATACGTAAGTCACTATTTTCTGTTTTGCCATTATTAATTATCATATTTTATTTAACTAATTACTACTATTATTTAAATGATTGCACAAAACGACCGGTTAACTTACAAGTTTGTAAACAAACTTATCTAAGCAAAATGGCGGAAAACGTCAGCACTGCGAAAGTTAAAAAACGTGTCCTTGCCCCGAAAATGGTATAGTTTGTTTCTCAGCGCTAGCGAGCGCCGTCAAGCGCTTGTTTCTGCTGAACGCATCCTTTTTATAAACTGAATGAGACTATAGTGATTTCACGATTATCACTTGAAGTTAGCCTTTAAAATTTCGAATGACCGAATGAAATTGTGTGTAAATCATGTGATCACTTTTGCAACATTATGATTGGCTGAAGCACCCATGTCCAATCATCCATCATATTAAACCATTGAATATAAACATTTTCGCGCTTGCAATTGATTGTAAACAATAAATCGATGGTAGAATCCATTGTTTTTATAACCCCCTGGCCTGCACGCCATATACATCGGAAAGAAAGTAAGTAAAAGAATAATATAAGAACTACATATTAAATAAAGAATGATTCAAAAGTTTATTAATATATAATTAAGAATTATTTTATATTTCAACTAATATATTATTTATTTCCTAATTTCAGAAAGTGACAGTCAAATAATTATGGCCAATAGATGTAAGTATATCAATAATGCATGTTATTATTCATTCGATCTAATAGATTAATGCTTTTCAATTTTTTTAGTATCTGAATATAATCGTCTTCATCTTCTCCAACAAGCGTTGAAAGAGAAGCAACAGTTGGAGGAGAAAATAAAACTTCTCCAGCAGCCACCACCCTCTGAAAGCAACCAGCCCTCAGCTAGATGCCGAGAGCCAAGTCAACAACAGGTAGCGGATATTTCGCTACCACCTGAGCCAGGTATTTATAAAAAACTCATTCAAATAATAATGCAAAAAATGCATTTAAGTAAAAATTAACAACTTGAATGTTGATTTTTTACTTAATTAAAATATTATTTCAGAGCATCCTCGTCGGTGGCACAATAGAGGGCGAAAATGGGGAAGGGGGCAGGGGCAAACGAACACTCGTCCATATCCGTCCCAGAATGGTTCTCGGGGATGGGAACAAGGACAGAAGAGAGGAAAAGGTGGAGAACAGCGAAGAGGTGAAAGACGAGGAAGAGGACAACGCCGCGGAAGAAGCGGGAATATTATTATTTATAACAGTTAAATATTATAAAAATTTAGTAGTATAAAAAATAGTAATTATGTAGTTTCGATATTTTTTAAGAATTTAAAGAATCTGAAAATAAAAGGGATAACAATTAGCAGCATTTTTTACAGAACGATAATCACTTATGTTTAGTATCTAGTTTGCTTTTTTCTTTTTTTACACTCCCTTGGCACAACTAAACGATGAGTTTCCGGCTTAAAGGGGTGCCAGGCAACAAAATTTATGCCTCGTCCTTAGACATATATACATATCACAACTATTTTCTGGCAAACCAAGTTGTGATGGCGACGAGTCTAATCTCATACCTAAAAGGGATCCAGGAATAGCAGGCAAGAAATTCTAGTCAAAGTTTTGCTGTATGTCTACACGTTTACTTCCAACATTTTCATCCTTGTTTCCTCTCTTGAGAACTCTCCTCACCTCTAGTTTATTTATTTTACACTTGTGTAAGCTCTTTCTTACTTTTACATATTCTTCAATTCACCTAGGCAATAAAATTTAATTTTTTAGCACTCCCATGGTATCGAATAGCACCTTTAGAGTAATGGGCATGCTAAAAAAATAATCAGCTGCAATGAAAAAGTTATAACTGTATTAAGACATTATTTATTCAAATAGTTTGATGATAAATATATTTTTATTGCTTCCAGTATGCTTGGAGTATTGGGGAGCAAATATTGTACTAGAAATAAGTGGCGTTAGGGTTATAGTCCAATTTAAGCTAGTGAGTAGAAATAAACTGGTAGTTAAAATTAAAGGGTTAAACTATGGTGATTCTAAGGTTGAATCCAGCTGAATTACTGCTTTGTAGAATTAATATCTGGTGTCCAGTCTTTAAATCTTCCACCAAGGTATTCCTGTTCATATTGGACTTGGTGAGGTGCTAAAGCGTATGAATACTTGCTATGTTAATTGAAGAGCTGGTGGAATTTTAAATGATGTAGTAATATCTCCACGTAATTTTTATCTGCTGAGATTTGACCATCTGACTTAAGTATAAGTTGATGTAGATTATTATTCTAGAAACGGGATTACAGAATTCTTCTTTTCATCATTAAGAATAAATTCATGAAGACATTGATTAAATCCTTCCCACTTTTTAAATACTGTCCAATCTTATAAAAAAATTTTTTTTTAAATAAGCTGCTAATAACTATTTAATCTTAATTTTGCAGACACTATTGCAGACAGCGCATGATTACAGGTTGTTGTCATCCATTCAGCTTTCTAAAATTTTTTTAATCAATGATTATAATTAAATTAAATATTAATGAAGCTATTATAGATATTTTGAAAATAATTTTACCTCCATATGCTGTTCTGGAAATTTCATGTTTAAACGAAGCACCATGAGTTTTTATAACATCGAGTAATACCGTAAGTGTACGAGCTCTTACGTCAAGCTTACATCAACTAACAACACAAGAAAGTTCGAATATTACTGGAAACCAACCTCTTATCTGAAAATAATGTATATAATTTAAAAAATATGAATAATACTTTTCCATTTTACGATAATTACGGTGTTTTTTTGTGTTTCATTCCATCCCGAACAAATATTAGGTGCTTGAGAATGAACTATTCAAGCTACACATCTGTCAATCATATCACGTATCACTGGAGACCTATTCTTTTTCATAATATATTCAAACGGTCTCAAAAATTCTTTTTAAAACCTAAAATTTGCAAATTCTCCTTTTTCAATAAATTTAGTTGCAAACTGCCGAAGGGAATCAACTGCAAAGAATACAATATTTTGTCTTGGACTGCATTCCACTCGATCAAAATGATCCCCAACAACTTGCCAAATTCTTGATTATTATAGTTGGATACGTCCCATGTTGTAGTACGATATTTCTACTATTTTTGTTAATAAAAACATACGAGGTTGAGTTGGATGAGACAACTTTTCTAAAGATACTTGACATGGTGCTTTTACAAATTCTACAATAGTGTCACCATCTAATCTTGTTCATCCCATGAAAATGCTATCTACTGCTACAATAACACTTTGCGAATTTGCTTCATCAATTGATTCCACTTAAATTGTGCTTAAAATTACTTCATACTACGTGTAATACGCACTTTTTACTGATACTAGTTCTCATTTATTATTCTAGAAGATTATAACACAATAATCATACAGTATCATCTAAATCTGTACAAGTGTACTACCACACTCCGCCGTTCCTCATACGGTCTAAAATATGTAGATTATAACCATATTTTTTTTTCTCGGTGTTTTATCAAAATTCTGTGCTTAGATTCTGAAAGAGCATCGAATTTCGCTTTGGAATACAGATATTACATTTTTTTTGGTCCGATGAAATAATAAATAAACACCTTAAAAAGTTAGTAAAAATTCTGATTACCCCGGCGTTAATGGGTTGAAACCCTATGATGAGAAAGAAAATATGGATGAATGAGTTCTTCGTATTCTTCTATGAATTGTCTGTAAAGATTGCTGTACTCAGTCTCGTTGGTTGATCTTCTTCACTGACTCTATAAACATCGGTACGCAGTTGTATATAAGTCTCCAAGAGCTGCAGGTGAAAAAATAAGTGAAATTCTAACAATGTATCGTCCTGACGAATATCTAGAATACGTTTACCTGAAGAATTCTTCACATTGTTGGTCCAAGAATAATAGTCGATGGTGATTTGTAGTATGAACTTCTTCTCGGACCCAGAATTTTGAGCAACTTTTGAATGTCTTCATGGAATGTAATTGTAGTAATATGATGAACTTGATAGTAAATGACTGATAAATTTGATGTCACTGGATCAAGAATTAGCCAACCAAAGATGGAAAGTTGAGCTATAGGAACTGTTGGAGATTGAAATATGATGTTTCGTTTGATGATTTGTCCATAAAAGTTAGCTCCAAGAAGAATGTCTATTGATTGAGGAACAGTGAATATTGGATCTGCTAGTGTTAAACCATTGACATGAAGCCGATGATTGTTGCTCTGATCCAGGATCTATAAGCACTCTTGCAATGTAATTTCCTGAAGGTGAATTTGCTCTGACTTTTGCTGCTGCTACCAGCGTTGAATGGTCATCTTGTTAGAATGGTCTTACTTGAGCAGATTTCTCTCGTCGATGATTTTCTGTTGAGTGAAATTGATTTTACGTTACTTGATTATTGATGTTATGTGCTATAAACATCACTACTTAAATGTTGATTGATTGACTTGTAGTCTTCCAAGATAGTTCCTGCAGAGTTTTTTCCCGTCGGTAATCCTTCATCGCTGCTCCATAAGCAATGCCCTGTATTCTGGACGGACTATGATGAAGTGACCCCCATTACAGCAATCACAGATAAATCTACGTTCACTGATTGTTGAATATGACGAGCGTTGTTAAATGTCTCATTTTTTTCGTGGCTC